TTGGTTTTATTGTACAAAGTAGCACTGAGGCCATCATATAAGGTTAGAACAAGTATTACTTTTAAATCTTTATTTCCAAACTTGGCCAGGTATGGCTGCAAACAATTTATTCATACTTGTAATTAAAAGTTTTCTTTCTTCTAAGTGCTTTGCTAGCCAAATCTGTCGCTGCTTTACTAGGGAGTCTTGCCAGGTATTTGTCCACAGGATGGATGCCAGTTCTGGTTCTATTTTTAAATAATTTGTAAAGACTATTTACTTTATGGTTTGGAACAAAGTATTTTACAAATTGTTTGTTACTTTTTATTTTTTCCATAATTTTTTTATATTGTTACTTTTTTAAAAATACTTTCATTAGTGTCACAGTGTGGAATTTATTTGTCTACCTTCCAACTGTTGTGTAAACAAATCTAGGTGGCTGTTTATGTAGACGTAGTATAATATGATGCCCTTTTATTATGTTCAGAATTCGCAGGTCTTTTAAGAAAAGAAATTTAATTATTTCATTTTTGTTGGATTTGAAATGTGATTAAAGTATCATAAACATAAAATTGGTATTTTTGTTCTTACAGTGCATCTGTATTCAAACAACAAAAACATGAATGTTCAGCTTAGCTGTGTGGAAACATTTTCCAAAACATTCCACAAGTCAAGAAACAGAGCCAAAGAATAATAATGAAATCAAAAATACTTATTATTTATAACATAGGCATGTTTTTGTTCATAAATATAATAAAAGTAATTCGGATATTACTTAAGATAATTGAAATTGATAGTAGGGCACTTATTGTCTATAGAATGGAGAAACTTTATATCATCACACACGGTAGTGATTAACAGATTCTAGCTCAAGTTTTCAGAAGAATCATATGAGTAGACGGTTATTATTGACTATTCATTGCCAAATTTTTCACTACATATTTAATAAATTTTATTAAATTATCCTAATTAGAGAACATTTACCATCATGTGATATTAGCTTAATCAACTAGCATAAATAATGATGCTTGATACGGCTGTAATGATTGCATGAGGTAATGACAGGAAACTGTTAATCTAAAATCCATGGCGTTACTATAACGGAATCTATTAACACTGTTTTTTTTTTAGCTTTAAGTATTTCTCTAATAGGTTATGTAAATAATCATAAATTATTACAATATAAATTAGACAGACACTTTCTTAGTGATGTTGTATATAAACAAGGTTTAATGATTTATTCATCAATCTCAATATGTAATTGTGATTAAAACAGAAATTACAACAAAGGCTGCATTATATTTGGTCTTTATTTCCATTGATAGACTGATATTAGCAGCTGCCAGTAAGAAGAGGCTTCCAAAATGCCAATATTAATTTAATTGCAAGCTTTTGCAGATTTATAAAAAAATTAAATAACAAATAACAAAGCGATTACACTCTTTTATAGTATAATCAAAAGTCAGTTTTTTGTTCTCTCAGAGAGTTAATCATACTTTATAAAAGCACTATGCATTTGCTGATACACTGGTGTAGTGTAACCACATTTGAGAAGTTTGGTGCAACATTTAGCAGCTACACTAGAAAGTATATTAATATAACATGATTAAAGGCCAACGTGTTGAAGAAGTCTTTCAGTGTTCTCCATGGATGTGGAAAACTTCCACTGCAAAAGGACAGTGACAAGCTTTGAAACCACACCTCATTTCTATATGCAGCAGTGACTTCATCCTCAAAGTGAAGGCTGTGGTTATAAAATGGAACCCTCTGACCCAGAAAACCATTGCAATGAAGATGAGTACATCTTCTGGTGTCATTAACAAGGTACTAAACAAGAATGTTAGTGATATAGTCAAGAGTTCATAAGTTTGCATCCTCACCTAAAAAGCAACGGCTGTTTTGTGAGAAAAGATGCGTAAGAAACTAGAACAACAACAATTCTATTAATTGGTTTATCTTTTATAGTGTTTTTGAGTTGTTTAAAAAGTGCTTGCTGGTGGTAGCTATTGAATTAATCCTGTAATTTTCAATACAAGCATTCACATGCTATATTGGAGGTCCTAGATTTGATTATAATAGAAAAACTGGCACTCAACACAGGCTATCGCATAACCCTGAGATGAGGTTTGAGGCTGGCACTTGTTTCTGAGAGGGGAATAATCTGGGAGTGCAAGCTAATAAAAATTGACTTACTATTAATAGCCAGTATGTTAATCCTTTAGATCAGTTAATATAATTTTCATTCAAGATATGTAAAAACAAGGTTGTAACATTATGAAGTTCACTGATATAGCTCTGGTTGACTTAACCTTTGACTTGCGTAAACATGGTCTTGAAAGCTGATGACAGACATCCATGTATGGTGGAAACTGTATCAAGATGTGTGATCTGAGGTTGACATCGCCTTCCTCTACAGAAGATTTTTACAGTGAAAATTGCCATTTTTGAATTGTATATTGTGTGTCATGAAAGAAAAAATCTTCACGTGTTATGTTACAGACACATTTGTTGGGAGATATGGAACTAAAACCACATGATTTCTAAGCAGAAGGTTGTGTCTTTACTATGACTTCATAAAGAATGGAGTGTTATCAATGTCAAAGGTTTTTTTTTCTGTCTAGGCTTGTCTAATCTCTCATTCTAGAGCTGTAGTAGAGCCTTTCATTGTAACAGAAGAACCTGAAACATTGCTAAAGCAAGTTTAATATGTTTCTCAAAAAAGAAAGAAATTTAGATTGAAAGAAACTGAATACAGCTGGTTCAGTCATTTTTCTCACTTCTGGCACAGTTTTGATAGTAGCTATCTTTATGGGTAGTCTTAATTTTCCTAAGGGAAGGTATAAGGAGAGTGTTATATGGAGATGGAATTTGTAGCTGGGTGTGAAGTATCATTGTGTCTGCTTTTTTTTATTCTCTGTTTAATATTCGTAGTGAAGCAAGCAGTGCTGCTGTTTGTTGCATGTACAAAGATCGCATGACAAGCCAGTTTGTTTTTTATTTTGTTCACCATTAAAAGTGTCTATGATGCTGACAGTTATACTGATATACATGTGATGAAATAAACTATCTAAAGACAGCAATGATAGTCACTTAAGTTGGAATGTAGGACACTAATAAAATATCTCGTAATGGACTAGCTCATGTATTTAATGCATTTGATGGTATTTTTTTTCCTGTCCAAAAGGAAGTTTTTAGTTTGAACTTGGATGACATTAAGTTTATAAAAGAACATGTTTCTCTCTGTATAGTATAGTTTAAAAAAATATAGACAATAGCAGAGAACAGTAGTATACACAAACATTAAAAGGAAGCACATGTACAGAAACAGGTTTTCTCATAGGAAACAATTCTTTTAAACAACAGAAAATGTATTACAAAGCTCCCACTTTTATTGACAACTTCTATGTATATCTTAATTAAAATATTTAAATTAGCTCCACATTTAACAAACTGAGATATTATAAAGTTTATGGCCAAAAATATAATTAACAATGAAGGTACCCAACTAATGAAATAATACATTCTAACCTTTATAAGAATGTAACAAATGTATATTTAATTAGCCATATTCATTATGAATTAGATTTTTAGTTTTGCTCTAAGTAGTTAACTTGCTCTGATCAGAAGTTAATATTATTTAATAGGTCTGAATTTACTGAGAACTGAAACTTACAATAGTCTGTCAAACATTAAAAGTTTTTGAAACTTAATTCATATTGCCCCCCTCCCCATTTTTTATTGGCTTCAAAGAATATTTATGTTATATGTAATCCTCATGGGATAATTTTTAAAGCACAAGAATTATTTTGGTGGCTTTTCCTGGAAACTCTTCCAGAAACTATTATCCTTCCAATAAGAAAATTTACAGTATCTAAGTGCTTCAGATGGAGTTTATATAAATAGAGAACAATTTCTTTACTCAGGACTGATTTCATGTGCATATGTCACAAGAAGTAAAATAATTCATTTCAAAAAACAGGTAACTTATTGAGTAGTTAGTCTGAACTCTAAACTGGGTATAAGTAATGTTATCCCAAATGATATGATTTAATTAAACAAGTTACACACTGTAAACTTGTTATAGTGTCTTATTGGAGACTGAGAGTTTAAAATTAAGGTAACATGCAAGTATAAACCAAAGGACAAAACTAGACGGGGTAAAAAAAAGCTTAATGTTAATAACATAAAAAAAACAACTGAATATTAATACTTCTACACAAGAGTTTGTTATTAAGATTATCTTGTTATTTTCAAAATAATAAGGAAAATGGTGTCAAATGTATGCAAATTAAGCTGTTGCATTAAAACATTATTTACAGCTAAGGGTTTTAATGTAAAATTTATCTGTATCACATAGATTTACAGGTTAACTCAGACTTCTGTGTTTACAATAAAGTCTGTATTTTAGTGTTTACAAAAACGATGCCATATTTCAGTTTGTTTTTCTTTTCTTTCTGCTGTTGCTGCTACAAATTTTAGCAAATATGTTGATATATATATATTATGGTTGCATCTTATTGAAGTGGCCTATAGAGTTCAATTCTGGTTTTCAAAATATTACATGTAGAACATTTTTCATATATACTCATGGTGATTATCAGTTATTTTCTGTAACAAACACCTGTTTGATGTGTACACAAGATATTAACGTATCTTTCTTTCAACATGAATGTTTTTACACTAAGTTTTTAGTGTTTGCTATAGTAAGAATTTTTCACTGGAAAATACTTTTGAAAACAATTATAAACTATTATAAAATTAACATTAATAATGTAGAATTTTTTTGTGGTTTTGAACTTGGTGCTACTTGTTATGTTAAAAATTTACATTACTCCAACTTTTGATGTAGTTTTTTAAATAAAATTTGAACAGTTATATAAGCCTAATGAATGGTAAAATAAGTGAGATGAGTGTAATTTGTTTTATGTTAGTGATTTCTTACAATCAGTATAATGATTTGTAATTCTGTAACTGTGTAAGCATTGCTATAGTTACAAATAAAAGTGATATTTTATTTGCAGGAATCTGCATTTCGTTTTTTGAAGTCTGCAATAGAGCCTCATTCTAGAACTCATATGCAGGATAGTGGGAATGAAACATTGGAGACTGCTAATGGATTGACTCGATCAGGTTGGTTAAATTCCATTACACTGTAAAATGGCAATAGTTTGAGCCATCATAGCAGAACATATTCTAATGATCTTTTTCATATATACCCATTGACAAAAACTGTCAAAACTTTTATAGAATACTGTGAAACCTTACTGCATTTGAACCAAAATCAGTTTTAATTTAGGGAACCACAGAATTATAGAGAATAATATATAATTGTAGAATGCTTGACTACATCTCATTCTTGTAATATTATGTTTCTGAAAGTTTTTAGAAGTACTACTGTTGTTGAAAATACATATTCTAATTCTTGAAGTGGTTGATAAACATCAGTATCACATTATTGGTCCAGATTGTTAAACTGGAGGTTAACCAGCTACAGAAAGCCTTAGTGTTAACTGACTACATATTTAGTATAAACAGGTTTATAGTGTGACCTTATTTAGTTGTTGCTGTGGCACCTGTTTTTGGATGTATGTCTAATGCTGCTAGTACTACATCTGAATAATATGCTATATCTAATAGGAAGAGAGGGGATAAAATGATAGAATTCATCACATTGATTATCAGAATATGTGATCAGTACAGATGTATCATTATGAAACATCTTTAAATGTACCAGAATGTATAACATGGTAAAGAAAATAACTTGTATAGATTGAGCAGTAACATATTTCAACAGAAATTTATTTGATATGAAGGAAGCTAGTTCAAAGATCCAGTTAACAACAACAAGGATCATGAAAAGTAAAAGGTAGGAAGTGATGGGCCCTACAAAAACATAAAATTTCCTGCTTGAACTTACTGGTTAACAGATGTTTTTCACATGATGCTACTGAGGGTGAAGCATTTATTGGGTTTCCTAATAGCAACCTAATGATAAAGATTTTGTGATGTTGGCATAAGATCAAAAATTACCTGTAACCTTATGTTTCAACAGCATTCTGATAAGATAACTTGTTATGTATGACAAATTAATTTTTCAATTAATAAAATTGGTGTACAGAAAAAATGGGGGTTAGAAATCTGTCCAATGTTACACTTTTTTTACCATTAGTATTAACATCTCATCCTTAGTTTTGTAACCTTGTGTACATGTCTCATCGACAACTATGGGATGGTTTAAACAGTAAAATGACTTCTGCCTTTTGGACATCCTAAAAAAAAACTTGTTGTAAGAACCACTAACTCTAGAAAATATCTTTTTCAGTTTTTCTGAGCATTTTATTTAATTGACTTTGAGGCAGGTGGCTTGCTGCATATACTGATGTACTTGCAAACATGGGCACTAACAAAAGAAATAAGGAAAAAGATAGAAACAACACAAAGAGCTATGGGAAGAAAAATACTTCATATAACACTACAAGACAGATGGAGAAATGACAGAATTAGAAAAACAACAAACAGAATAGATGCAGTAAGATCCATTCTAAGAACTAAATGGAAACGGGCTGGGCATGTAGCAAGGTATTCTGATAATAGGTGGACATTAAGAACAATGAAATGGCAACTAGGACAGGGAAAAGATCTAAGGGAATGCAAGAGAGAAGATTGAGGGATGATATAGTGGTGGAAGCAGGAATCAGATGGACACAGTATACTAAGAATAGGAAATACTGGACTGGTCTGATGGAGAGCTACATCCAACGAGGGATGACTACAGCTTAGATAGATAAATAGATTATTTTAAAGAACTTGTTAATAATTTTGTAGAATGAGTGTGCTAGAACTTGTGCAGAAACTATACTAATTTGAACAGTAGAGTAATTTAAGTATTAATTTAATTATATTCTGTGCATTCCAAAGAATACTTTTGTTTATTAGTTATTTTGTCCAGAGGGGCAGAGGAAAAACATCCTTGACTAAAGGAGTTCCAAATTTAATTTATTCATTATAATCCTGCTGCTTGGTTCTGGTTTTAATACCCTTTTTATACTGATAAAGACCATTATCTGTTTATTATACAAGATAATCCAAAATATTGATACTTTGTAAAAAGCAGTAACGTGTAATATGGAGTAATGCTGGTTTACACGAGAAAGTTATCTGAAGTTTTTGAGCTTAGCTGAATGTGTCATGAAACAGTAATGATATTCAGGTCTAATAATGTTCAACAGAAAATCCAAACATTTCTGCAAAAACACAAGCTTATGATTGTTAAACAAAGAATAAATTGAACATGTAGCAAATTATATAATAACTGCTGCCAGAAGAACTGCTAAAATTCTATAGTAATAATTACAATTAATAATAAATAGTCTGCATTGTGAATAACAGGCAAACAAAATAGCTTCTCTGACTAATCTGCTTTAGATCATCTGTTGCATATCTTCACTGCTGGTGTTGTTTTTGGCCCTTAACCCAAGAACACCTGATGAGGTAGGGTCTGCTTAGTAATATATCAATACAAAATTGAAACATGTAAAGCTTCATGTACCATGATGTCACGTTTGGCCAATGTAGCTATTACTATTTCAGAAATTTAATATTGTATATTAATCTAGCTAATACTATAAATAACTAAAATATGTATTGAATTATTTAGATTTAATGTTATAAATTACAAAAACACATACAGACTTGCTTCTTATTTAGTATCTGAGAAGTTTCAGCTAGATGTCTAGTGTGAATATGTCTCAGTCCACCATAGTGTTTGATGGTGACCTTGCTAAAGAAAGTCTGCCCATTGGTCAAGCTTGAAGGGGAAGAGGAGGTTTATAAAGAGTACAAACTAAAAGTGACCAGACTGAATGAGCTTAGCTGAATGTGTCGTGAAACAGTAATGTATGTACCAATGTGGTATTCAGATACACTGATGTTTAACAGAAAATCCAAACAAGAACATTGTAATCACCACAAAATTTTATTAAAATGTTGTATGTAATTTGTTGAAATATAAACTTCTACTCGGAAGTTCATGTTTGTGTTCAAAAAGCACTAATTATAAATCGAGGTAGTGAGCTTTAGTTGTATTTGTTGAACTTTTTTCAAGTACTGGATCTGTTGAGTAGATACGTTGGCACTGATATGGCTCAACGTATCTGTATGCTTTGTTAATTTGTATATGTTAATTATGTTAGTTTTCTTTGAGAAGCTGTGTGAGGTATTGATATTCAGGTCCAGTAAATGTGCTGCTTGCTGACAGAAGTTACCAACTATCTTTATGTCCTGTTTAAAAGATGTATGAGCTGAACTGTATGAATTTGTAATCAAAAAATTATGGCTTGTATGAATTCATAGTGTAAAACATTGATAGTTTTTATGATGGGTATTATCAAAGAAGCATGTATTATCATCTGTGTAAATCATTCATTTACCAACATTGTTGAAAGATGTATTATTTGCAGACTTAAGTTTTTCACTGATTTCATTGTGAAGGTTAGGCTGATATAAAGGTTGCTGAAATTAAATGTCTTAGTAGATATAACTGTGAAAGATTTTAACTTTTGTTTGCATTTCATGGATTTTGAATGATTATATATTGATTAATACTTGTCCTTTCTTTTATAATTCTCTCATATTTCTTCAGATATTCTTTGACATACTTAGATTTTTACCTGTGAAAAGGATAAATCTTTTAGGGTGGCTTTTTTGGTTCCAACTATTTACAGGATGACTTGTGTAGTTTCGGGATCAAGAATAACTAAGGAATTATATTATTGTTAGTATTTGTATGAACTGCAAATTGTGCTAATGTTTCAGTATTTTATTTGATAATGTCATTTGTATTGGATTGGACATAAGTATAAATAGAATTACCTGAAGGTTGCAATGTTTGAAGATTGTAACCTTATGAAGTGTAAAATGAAATTTTTTGCAAAAAAAAAAAGTTTTATTTGCAGGATTATCTGCTGGTATTAGGATTCTTTAGTATATTTTTTTTGATGAAGTATATGTGTTAAATCATTAGGTGTAACTTTGTTTTAAAAGAACTGATTGTATTGTTGATTAATTCTTATGGCCATTCAAAATATTTTAAAAACTGATTAGAATTTATTTTTTACTCCAATTTCATGTTAGTAATTTTAAGTAATTACATCAAGATGTTTTTTTTACTATGTTTCCAGTTAATTTTTGAATTTTCACAAAGTTCTTCATTTTATACAGTGTTAAGGTTTCCAGTAATGACATGCTGACTGTGTAAATTTAAGGAGAAGTACGACATTCACAATCTGAGGAAAGAATGTTGTTCATTTCATCATTATTAATGTTACAAGTTGCAGGTAGTAATTGGTTTTAGGTACTTGACCCCAGTAATAGATTCTAGATTAGTAAGTTATAGCATTTATCAATAAATGGAAGAAGGAAAAATACTTTACTTTTGTTAAATGATTTGAGTTTATTTGGAAAGACTGCTGATAAGAAACACACTATAGATAATTTAAATTGATTATATACATCTCTGAAGCCTTAGTAAGGTATCCCAAACATCTACTAGTTATATACTTCAGCCAGTACTTTATATACAAGTCTAAACCATTGCAAGGCACTTGTACAGGTTTCTGTATTACCTATTTAAATAGGCTGGATTCCTAGAAGCCAATGTAGAACATTTGTATAAAAATATTAGCTTTTGTTTATGATGTTGTTACTTCTAGTAACCATGAATGAGACTAACTACATGAAAAACTGCATGAAATTTAGAAAAATTACATGGATATACCTGAATAGAGATATATTTTACACTAATTATAAAAGTGGGAAATTAATAGCTGTTTCAGCAGTGATACTAATATTTACTGATGTAAGTTACCCAGCTATCATAATTTCTTTCAACCAAGCTTTTTATTGTATAACAATAATCCAACATGATATTGGTGTAGACTAGAAAATTACCTAGCTGTTGTAATTTGATATAGAAATTGTTTTTTAGAATTCAAAAGGAACAAAACTGGTGTGTTCCAAGAGGTCTGTACTTGTTTTCCTCACATTTACTCTATCTTTTCAGAACACATCATTTTCAAGCTTTTACCTATAAGAAATAAAAGAAACGTAGGTAATATTAATCATTAGTAAAAATGGAGAGGGAGGGAGGGCTAGTTCTACTTTCATTAGAACTCAGTTTTTTGTTAATTTTTAAATTTTACATTTTTCTTGTCAAACACAGTAAAATAAAATTTATGTAGGTAATAAAACCTACTCAGTAAATGAAAGTAACCTACTAAAAATTTGCCTATTAGAATGACACTGTAATTTATTAATAAAAAAAAACAAAACAACGTCTCTTAAATGTCAGCAACAGGTTGTTAAGAAAAAAGCCAGACAGTTACAGGTATGTGTGTTAACTGACAATGAGATTATATTCTACTTACCATGATCCTAAAAAAGTCAACATTTACAAAGAAGGATCAGGCTTGTTCAAAGGCATTGTTTATTGAATGTTCAGTATCTCTACAGCCTGCCTTGTGCTTCCATTAGTATTATGATTAATTGGATAAACAGACTGCATACAAACATCTACCAAGTTTATTCAAGATTGTTTGAGTTAAAAACTTAATAGTTATTATAATTTGCTTAACAGGTAAAAATGGAACTTGGATTCTTAGGCATATTAGAATTTATTAGTGGGAAACACTAATTATATTTTAGATTTCTTCCAGGAAAAAGAAATTGTCCAATTAAGTTTAGCTTTTAAATGACAATACAAAATCCTATTTTGGCAAGATTTTAATCTCTAAAAGAAGGTTGTTATATGTGAAATAAGTGAGTCCCAGTGTTAGAGAAAATTAGATGACATCATACATGCTGGGGTATTTACACTGCTTCAGTCAGATGCATGAACTTATCGTTAATGGTATTAATCAACTAGTCAAAAGTCATCGAGTCCAACATCTTGTAGAAAGATTTTATGCATATTAAATCAGCTGTCTGATTCACGTCGTCAGCATACAAAGGGATGGTTTCATCTATTTCGTATCACCTGCTTCTGAAGAGAGTCATGTTAAAATGGCTCATCCAGAAGAAAAAGAAAAGAACTGGTCTTTTAGACCTTTTTTGTGGGGTATTTAATAAGATTATATCTAGTTCATTGAGATGAGAAGAAAAATAAGTAATTATTTACAATTTTAAAACTGTTTGGCACATTTTTTGGAAAACAATAGAAATTAAATAATTTTCCCTGTGATTATTTAGTGAAATAATGTAGTAAGTAATGGTCTTTGGACTTAAGGAGGTGTCATCATGTATTACTACAGTGTTTGAATATTTTTGGCTGAAATTCTGAAGTATTGACTGATACTTTCTTCTGATAGATAACATCTGGTTTTATGATTGGTCAGATCTGTTGTAAAGTTGTTTTTTGCCTTAACGTTTCTAGAATTATGCATGTTAATAATCATAAGACTTACAACATCCTCTCAACACATTATGTAATTGTAATTAAAAAACATTATGTTCATGCATTCTTAAATATATGTAACTTTGATATTAATAACGTATTCTACTGTAAATTGAATATGGATAGTGTTTTGGAGTCTATGTTTTCTCAAGGTTAGAAATAACATATTGTGAAATGGATCACTCACCTCAATTTTGAGACAGTTAACAAGCCTTTGTGATGAGTTTTCCATATGTGGAAATTTTATTCAAAAACATTTAAAATAAATTTAGATTCTTTTAGATTCTATTTTATGTTGTAGTTGACTGTTTAGGTTCAAAATCTCAAGGTTATCATGTTTGCTAAATTATCCATATCTGTAGGTCTTAAAAACTTTTTCCTTTCATGTTTAAGTCATCTCAAGCAAACATTTTAAATATAAGGACATATGAGACATGTTATCTAGTAGTTGTTAGATTTTTGTGGTTGATCATAACTGGTAAACATTTAAGAATGGTTTTGCAAACAACCAATTTTTGGAGTTGTGGTAAACGTAAGGGTTTAGATTTTATAAAAATACTAACTGTTTATGTTATCTATACATTTCAGGTTTCCTCAATCTGAAGGCTTCTAGGAAATCCAGCCTACAACATGAAGGAATTGTGTGGGATGGTCAGAGAGGAGGTTATAGTTCTGCTCTAGATAGTAGCTCAGCTAGTACTCGGTCAGATAGCCCTAGTGTTAGTATTATGGGCCTTCAGCACCATATACTTTTACCAGATGCTCCTCGCCTTGTGTCAAGTGGTCAGCCTTCTGCTGTAGACACGCTAGGTCACCCTCAATTGTCTAGACAACAGTCCCCAAGCTTTCCCTTGAATGAGCCACCTCCACCACCTCCACCTCCAAGGGGAGTTCCTGGACCTCCACCAACACCTCCCCGAGGTACAACTCCACCACCTCCCGTTTGTCAGTCACAATATGTTGGAAGTGGTGGAGCAGCAAATAACCAAGTTCAACAGTTTTTCAAAAGAATGTCTCCTGTTCCACCTCCTTCCAGTCGGTCACAGGCTCTCAGCTATGCTTCCTCTGTGTCTTCAGGGTCAACACCTAAACGTGGAACCAGCCCTGTTTCCCTCAGCCGTAGCCCTTTGGTGGCACAAAGTCAACAACAACATCTTGTACAGCAGTTGCAAACCCTTAGCCTCTACTCTGGGAGTGGATCCTCCACTCGTTCAGAACCACCACCTCCCTATCCAGCAGGATCAGCACATAGCCCAGCCATATATTCGCCTCCCTCATATGCTTCTTCCAGTTCTGGGCGACAAAGTCCCACTCCAACTATAAGCAGCAGTGAATACTCTATTTTACCTTTTAATATTCCCCTTCAAAAAAGAACTCCTCCACCAGCCTATACACCACCTATGTCTGCAGGTTCTCCACAACCACCATCTAGCCTAGTAGGAAGTTCTTCAGCCACAGTGGCAACAGTTGTAACAAGTGTTCTTCCAAGGCCTGCACCTTTGCAAGCATGGAGTTTTCGACAATCTAAGTCTCAGTCTCCTATTATCATGCAGTCTGTGAAAAGTACACAAGTACAGAAGCCTGTGTTGCAAACAGCAATCGCTCCAACCTCTCCACCGGTGAGTTCACCACCACCTCAGAATGTTGCTTCTTTATCTTGTTATCCAGTTCAGAATCAGAATAACCCTTCTAGCTCCAATATTCAAGGATCTTCACCTGGTTATCCACAGTCTTTGTGTCAGTCACCTAATCCCCCACCTTATTCTACCTCTTCACAGGGACAGAATTCTCCTGGAGTTTATTCATCATCAGCGGGTACTCAACCAACACCTCCAATATACCGTAACCCAAGTCCTATACCTCCTCCGTATAATCCAATATCTCAACCACAGGACTCTACAGCATTTGTCAACCCTCCTCCATGCTATGCAGTATCTGTACAAACACAGAATGTTCTCAGGCATGAGACCGAAAACCACAATGTGTGGCAAGATGCCAACTTTGTGGGTATTCCTACACAATCACAAGCCACTGTACCTACAACTGATCCACCAAGTTATGCTTCTAGTATTGCAGCTCTGGCTGCTCTTAGAGCAGTACAGTCACCCACCCCTGTTAGCAACAATAATAATGTGCCATGCTATAAAAATGGGGCTTACAGTGCTGCTCCTGTGACAAATGTAACAACAGTATCTCATGAGAGCTGTAGGACTAATGGTGCTGCAGGTCCAACCACCAGTGCTCCAACTTCCTCTTCAAACCTTGTTAATACAGTGGAGAGTATTTGTAACTCTCAATTGTCAGCACTCCCTTGTCGTTTGCAGGGTGATGTTTATACTTCTTCTCAGCATACACCACTTCATAGAAAACCTTCACCCATAGCTATGGATACAGCAAGTTCAGCATCTTGCTCAGCTTCACGTTCTGAATCCCCGGTGTCCTTTATGTCTACTACATCTACATCCTCACCTTCCACTCAGTCAGACTCTACCCATGACTCAGTCCGAGTCCCGCCTCCTCCACCATACAGAACTTCTCAGCAGTCTCCTCTTCCACCCAGAAAAGTTCTTTCCAAAGAAAAAGAGGAGGAAAGACGCGAGTCAAAAGTCCGCAATTACTCCCCTGCTGCATTTAAATTCTTTATGGAGCAGCATGTAGAAAATCTTCTTAAGTCTCATCAACAAAGAGAACACAGGCGACAGCAACTGGAAAGAGAAATGGCTAAAGCTGGACTCTCAGAAGAACTTCAGTGTCAAATGAGGTTAATGCTTCATCAGAAAGAATCCAACTATATTCGGTTAAAGAGAGCAAAAATGGACAAGTCTATGTTTGTCAAAATGAAAACAATTGGAGTTGGTGCTTTTGGTGAAGTTGCTCTTGTTCGAAAGGTGGATACAAACCAGTTGTATGCAATGAAAACACTTAGGAAATCTGAGGTTTTGAAACGCAACCAGGTAGCTCATGTTAAAGCAGAACGGGATATACTTGCAGAAGCAAACAATGAATGGGTTGTTAAGTTATATTACTCTTTTCAAGACAAAGAAAACTTATATTTTGTGATGGACTACATACCTGGTGGTGACTTGATGTCCCTGTTAATGAAGTTTGGAATTTTCCAAGAGAACTTAGCAAAGTTTTATACAGCTGAGATCATTCTGGCTGTCGAAAGTGTACACCGCATGGGCTTTATTCACAGGGACATTAAACCAGATAACATACTCATAGACTCCGATGGGCATATCAAACTGACAGACTTTGGTCTCTGCACAGGGTTTCGTTGGACTCACAATTCCAAGTATTATCAGCGAAATGGTAGGTTTATTAGACAACCTAAATTTTATCAAAACTGTCAGATTGTAATAATAAAATGTAGATAAACTGGTTATATAAAACTTTTTACAGTTAGTTAATAGGTATAATTTGCTTACATGCCATGAAACTTATGGTATAGTAACAACAACAACAATAATAATGAGTATATTTACAAATAGGCATAAAATATATGCATAGTATAATGAGATATTAAGTTGTGACAAATTAAGAGGAATGTGTGATGAAAAAATATCTGCAGTTTCTTGAATTTTATCACAAATTTTAGGCTTTGCCATCTTTCAAGCATTTAAGATGTTAGATTGGGAAAAAAATTGATACGATGTGTAAAAAAATAGTTGTTACAGTTGAAAACAGATTTTTAGTAGGCACTTGTTTAAAACACAATTGTTTATAAGCCAACACTACTTTTGTCAGTAATGGATTAAAAAATGTTTTTTTATTTATTTATTTATTTTTTTAGTGGAAAACTTTGTTTTACAATTTTCTTTGAAGCCCTATGTAGGATTTATTTTACTTCTAGTGTTCCAGTAGAAAAAAGGCCTAGTTGTTAGATGATCATATTGAAAATGCATAGAATTCAAACATTATTAAAGCTTACATATAAGCTGGGTAGTGTGGACTTCAGTATATGTTCAAACTGAAATTTTGACTTAGTTATGTAATTTTATATATACCATGTATTTATTTATTGATTGAAATAATCATATACTAACTACAGTAACAAATTATGTACTATATATATATATA